ACTATTTTGATCTGAGCGTCACTGATGAGTCTTATGTAGACGAAACGCGCGTCTAGCGTATCAAATTATAATCCTGGTACCTTTGATAACTATTATGACACACCTTAGGAGACTTTCGAAAACCAGGCTCCAGTGTTATAAAACAATTGATTGACGTTTAGGTGTAATACCACCAAAATATAGTACGTCAAATCCGGTTGTCACATCCGATTGCATATTTTTTTTCGACCCTTTTTCGTATACTAGTACGAAAAAGGGTCGAAAAAAAAATATTCCCTTGTATTTGACAGTTGTAGGAAATTAATTCTACATTTCATTGCAGTAAAAAAAAATTCTGAGTCATTAACATATATCTTGGGTGTTTCAAAGCACAATTCTTTTTTTATTTGGTGTTTCCATAAAATATTTTGGAAACTTGAGGTTACATGGTTACCAAAGCTTGTAAACAGGAAAAAAGGGGTGAAAATTTGATTGGTTTACTTCCAGTGATGGTTATTATCTTATATGCAATGAAATGTAATGTGAAATTTTGTCTGTAGTACTGGACAGGATAAAACTTTACTCATGCCAAGTGTTTCTTTATTTGAAACAAAGATAAATTCTGCATATTTTATTGAAAAGTGCAAATTTAACAAAGACTAATAGGGGAAAAACAATGGTGGTATTACACCTTAACTTACAAATACAAGGGAGACTACTAATGTCATTTTGAAATTTGAGTATACATTTAACCCGGGTTGAGAATGTTTATGAATAATTAATGAAAATAAAAAGATATAAATAATTATAGAAGTATACTCTTGTAATGATAATAAATAGTTATCATATCATGATTGCACATTTCAGTAAAAAAAAAGTTTTATGAAACAATTAACCCAAAACAAAATATAAAAATTCAACTTTTTACAACTGAATATATTATCGGCAGAAATAAATGAAACATGTTTTGGGTGAGTTGAATTCAAAGAGTCACAGTTTCATACATTACAGAGTTCGTAGGAGAATCTCGTGCATCTTTCATACTAATACAAAGTGAACTAGTTTAGTGCTACCATAGAAAAATACGTGTGAATAAGAAACAACAACTTTACAGGTTCGAAACAATTAACAGATTCCAATGAATGAAGTGAACATTCCAATGTTGCAACCACTAGTGCTGAAAACAGGCTTTGAGATCCAAATTAAGCATCATAAAACTTATCTTAAAGTAAGGACCATCTTAAGACCATCTTATAAGACACCTAAATTGGTCTAGTTAAGATTAGGACAATTCCTATGATATATCAAAAGGTGCGACATGTTTGATAAACTAAAACAGCTTTGATAGGACAACGATCTTAACAACTTTACAGCTTTACGGCCCTCAACAGTGAGCAAAACTCATACCATGTAGTATTAAGCTTTAAAAGAGAGGCGAAAGATACCAAAGGGGTATTCAAATTTATCAGTCGAAAAAAAACTGACAATACCATGGCAAAAAACGAAGAACGACCTAAAGATAAACAACAGTATACACAAAACGAATCTTATTCGTTTTGTTTAGACATGCAGATAATTTATCCTTTTATATTTCATATGTCTAAATATGAAAAGTCGATATATATCACATTGAATACCACGATATTTTTAAGCGACAGTCACACAAATATACAATAACAATAGATTTTATTGTGTACTTCCATTCTAACTATGACTGTAAATATATATGTTACCTGCATGATAATCCATCCTTAACATAATAAACATAAAAAGACAAAATAAAAAATCATATAAAAGAAATGACCTAAAAAAGGTTTATAAATGCAAAGAATATTTCTATTTCATATATACAGATTGTAACGAATTCCATAGCTAATTTATAGAGCGCTGGGGTTTGTTAATCGCAACAGTCGTAGGATAAGGACATGTTCTCAGTCCATTTTAGGAAATATCTTTGTCCTAAATGGGTTTATCAAACGTGTCGCAAAATACGATTTTTCTTAGAAATTGTCCTAGGTTTAGGATACCAATTTAAGTGTCGTAAGATGTTCATAACTTAAGGATATATTTTATCATACTTAATTTGTATCTCAAATCCCTTTTAAGCACTATTGGTTGCAACATTGGAAATTTTCTGAACAGTAAAATTTATGCTTCAGCGTGCCTCTTGTTCGGCATCTTTAAAGTTAGCCTTTTGTTCATATTTACTCGTATATTTTTTGGCAGTACTGAAACAGATTAACTGCTTTGTATTAAAACAGACTAGGACGGACACCTTCGATACGGCGCCTTACGTTTGCGCGACAAAACGAGCCCCTTGCTAACTTATACGTTACTACTATATTTCTGTTTCTGTTTCTTTTATTTCATTCATAAAATTACATACCACGGTAAAAGGGTAACTATTTGTACATGCATTTATATAAATCTAAAACAACAAAAAAAAGTATAAAGCTACTAGCTGTTGCCGCTATTAATAATCATGTCAACGTTTCACTCAATTTTGAATTTCCAGTTTATATACTACTTATTGTTGGAACAGAAATGTTATTGAAATTCATTCATTATTTACATTTTATATTTAATTACTTGCAAAACTATAAGGTCAAATCCATGCCTCATTAACATTAATTTTTTACATAGTTTCCGTATAAAAAGATTTGTTATCACACGTTAGTCTGTAATTTTCAATTTTCTTTGAATAAGATCTATATTTTCTCAATTTATCTAAAATAAGGGGATAATTCTGATCAGGTACAATTATCTTCAAGATAACTTTTGTAACAGTTATTTTCAAATTAGTTAAAAAGGCTTTATAAAATATTTACGTTAAATGTGTAATTTGTATACATTACATGTTTTATGTCTTTAGCAATATCACAAAATAATTTACTCCCGATGATTTATATAATTTATTAATCAATATTTGACAGATATTCTTTAGTTAATTAGTTTTTAAATCGATAAACAAATTACAATTTAAAATGATATATATATTTATTTTTTTTATTTTTTATACATTATCATTTAATTATATTTTGTGATTGCGGAAGATCTCATTTATACATTTGTAATGTGTGAAATAGTAGTACATAGAATTTCGGGAAATACTAAGGAACAATTCACTTTTTTTTTAATTGTATGCTGCACAATAAGAAACAAAATGGAGAATAGAGAATAATGCATTTAAATATAACTTTAAAACAGCTGGTATTTCCATTTTAATTTTGTTTGTTAATGGTTCATTGCATGTAGCATGCAAGGTGACAAGTGTCATGGACACTTGTTTACATCAGTCAAGCTTGCATCAACCTAAACACTCCATTAAGTACGATTTAGTAAATATTTGAGAATAAAATTTAGTTTAACATTTTCAGTTATAAATTGGTCGTGAAATGTATGTGTACATTTCTCGAAATACATTAAGTCGAAAATTTAAGTATCTTCCATGAAAAAATTATTTTTCGATGACAAAAATAAAATATAGTATAACTAAAACCATTTTATTCAAACTATTCTAGCGAAACAAAAATACCGGTTTACTTTTGAATATTGTTATTGCTATATTGCTATATGTGATTTATTTTGTTCTTTTCTTAATACATGTACAAAAGAAATTTTGAACATATAAAAACGAACGATTCATAGAAAACCTGAATTTGTTTTCAAGACTGCACTTGGACTGAGTAAGTAAAAAGTCAAATCAAGCTATCATTATTTTATCAATATTAATCTGTTTTTATTTGTGGTCATCATTACTTCAAATTTTTCTAACCGTCGTAGACTGATAAAGGTTTCGGCATTTTACACATAGTTGGTAATCTTATTATCCAATTTCGATAACTGAATTATCTCTTTGTTGTTTATTTAGGTAATTAATGAAATCACTGATCTAATTGCAAACATAATAAATCCTGGCGGGGAGGTGTCAAGTACCGAATCGACCTACTACTGTTCAGGGTTAGAATTATTTTATTTGGCCGTCTATTTTTGTGTCAGCTTCATCACATGGTCCTTTATTAAATATTATCATCTTATGTAATTGTATTATAAACATTGAATTATCTTCTCTTAGTGGTAATTAGTGTTGGTTAATACATTGAAGTATTATATTGTCAATATAATACATCCATGGTAATATAAACTGATATAACACCGTGACCGTTAGAGTGCAAATACGTAAATTTCATTCTGACATTTAAAAGAAATAGTTAATTGTTGCAAATACGCATAACAAAGTGTATACTTTCTAGGAGTTAACTTTCTTTTAAGAAAATAATCTTATCCGAAACTTCTTAATTTAATGTCCTATCAATCAAAGAATCATTAACTTTTTTATCATTTCATTTACATAAAAAAATGTAAATGAAATATTATTATAAATATTTTTATAAAAGTATTTTTATGAAACGAAATGTTTCACCACTGGCTACAGATGAAAACAATTAAATAATATAATTTTCACATCGTACCGAAAAGCATCTCGCCCAACAAAATTTCTCAGGCCCCTTTGAAAAGAAAATTGTGGGTGCCTTTTTTTAAATTTTCTGATTTCATGCTAAAAATCATTTTGCACAATATAGTTAAAGATGTTTTGGAACATATGCCTGGTCAAAAGAATTTGCTGCATACTTTATACTTGGGTGTTTCTTAACATTATCGAAAACAAATACCAAACTAACAAGATTAAAATTATCAATTTATTATTAAATGTTAATTATTTTTTCATTATTATTTTCATGTTAACATATATATGAATATAAGCAGCTATTGGGTAAAAGACAACGAGGAAGCAACCAAACGACACAAAAAATTAAAAGAAAACTATCTTGAAGTCATCATAAGATTTCCAACAATACAATAAAATGTATAGGCAAAAACTGATTCGAATTCATTACTTTCCAAATTTCTCATGCTAGATGTATTATTTCTATACTAATGCTGTTGTAGTTGTCAACAATGACAGAATATGAATTACACTAAATTGACATATTGATAATGATATAATTTCTTTGTAATACCTGAAATATGATCTTCATCTGAATCAGTTTTTTGTCTTTGCCACTGATTGTCATTCCACCTTTTCCATAGAACCTTATTTGAATGGTTTGTTCCAGTAAACTTTCCAGGATCTAGAATGTCCATAACAGAAAATGATGTAGTATTTACACGGTTTTGCTCATCCTGTTCGATCTCAAGATCATTCCTGTCTGGCTGTCTCTGGTGTTTATTTTGAACTGTTTGTTTTTCTATTAATTTTCTTTTTTCTTGTCCAGAATTAGATTTTTGACTGTCATTTTCAGTATTTGTCTCGGCATTGAGAGCAGAAATCACCACACTTCCCGAGAATAAAGGTCTCTCATTTTTTTCCATATTTCTTAACTCATGAAAGTGATGTTATTGTAGTGAAAACTCAACTTAAAGTGCGAAATGATAATAAGATCTCATAACATGGTCTGTTGGATATTACTGATGAAAATCTCCTTTAACACGTCCCCTGATTGGCTCGTAATCGAATTTTTATTTAGGAAAACGCCGTAGTCAATTCCTAAGAAATGACATGCGCAGTTCATCATTTTTATGACGCGTGTTCGCAAAGAAAGTCTGGTATTATTAAGAAGATTTGATGACGGGATCAATTTCACAATTACACGGGATTCTTTTAATTAAATGCTGGGCTAATTGTTCATATTGAGTGTGAAATTAGAGCCTCATCATCATGTTCACTAACCGAAGAAATTGAAATGTTTGGGCATTATTAAATGTCTACATTTTTATTTGATACACAATGCGATGTCAATTGAACTACATAAATTTAAAAGGTTTGTTATTTTAATATAAAATCCACATTTACTCCCAGAAATACAAAATTGCAAATTCTGTTTTTTTTTTGTTTTTTTTTTTATAAGATAAGTCTAATGGTGTAAGTACTGGTACATTTTTAACTGTCGTGCATTTCAATAGGGAATTTAGATATAATTTAAATTATTCATTTACTTAAGATATAAACTTATAAATGCATAAGGTTTTTTGGGGAAATAAAATTTAAATAATCTTTTATCGAGAATTAAAATGATCAGGGAACAAGTCCTCAATACATTTCCAATTCAATTCAGAAAGGAAACAATTGATTTAAACTCCCAACTTGTGGTATATATTATTTAGTATTGTATAAAAAATCATTTTGCGTCATTTCATAAATCAAATTGCTAATTAGGAGATAAAATATTCTTTATTATAATACAGTTATGAGTTACATGATTCAAAGCAAAAGGGAAAATAACCCACGTTATGAAAACACAGTCTTTCAATATATATATATATAAGTAAGTATATATACACGAAATTTCCCCTTAATTGATTTCAAACGAGGGCAAAACAGAGACAAATTTTGATTTTTTATAATTCTTTTCTATAAATCATTATATAACGGTTTTATATTTGTTCTTTTTGTTCGTTTATAACAACACAATTGTGTATTTCTGAACATTTATTCAAAAAATTTGACAAATACAAGCCTAAATATGGTTCATCATTTCAATTTAGATTCATTTTGAATATTCTTCACCAAACTCTTTCAAATTAATTAATTTTGTTAAACGATTTCCTTCGATCCAAAATATTATAAAATCATTTATAATTTGCAATATTGCTACAAAATTGCTTTACTAGCAATATGGGTGCATTGCATTTGCACTTATTTAAGAAAAAAAATGCTGGGTCACAAGGTTACATTTTGCGCAAAAAATAGAAACTTTAGGTAACATAGAAATGACGTTTAAAATTTAAATGTAAGTTTTATCCCAAATATGCGACTCGTAATAGAAATTTTGACTAACCTCTGAGTATGTAAGTTTTGTTGATATAGTCGAACGTTTGTTTTTGTCAGGTTTTATGAACTTACACATTTTTTAACCTTGTAGCCGATATTTTTGTTGATGCATTTGTTCATAAATTACTTAAAGTCATTCGGTGTTAAATTGTGCAATGTCAATAATTTCGAGGTGACAATAATGACACAATTCTGTTTTTTTATGACAACACAAAGATTATTTAGTGTATTGAAGAATAAAGACAACTCTTAGAGATGCATAGAAGAACCACGATTACAACATATATCCTATGTCCACTTTTCCTTGGTGACGAGGGGTAACATGCAATGCTGGCGAATGGAAGAGATTAGAGTAAATTATATAAATTGAATAGTAAGAATATAATTATTTTTACACCATGATTTACCTGTATTATTGGCACAAATGAAATATGGTTTGTAGCGCAAATAAAAATAATCGTTTTTGCGCAAATGAAATAACAATTTGCTTGCAAAGCGTCATGCAATCAATGATAACTTTCGATTTTATGTTACATGTATATACAAAATGGTTCAAAATCTTTAATGTTTATCAATTTCGACCTTCATTTTTCAAATTCGGGTATATGTTTCAGCAACTTACTTATTTGACAAAGTGAGAAAAACAAAATATAGAGGGAAGCGGCCACAAATTGGCAAATCTATCATAGTCAGGCTTAATTTCAGATGAGTACAACACATTTGTTTTTATCAATAACTAAAATATTACTCTGATACATCAATACAAACTGTTTATGGTACATGTCAGTGAGATACAAACATACTCCTGAAATCTACATTATCTTCAATTAAAACATTTCTAATTGCTCAAATAACCATTGGAAATTTGTCAATATTGACATACGTTTTGTGATGTATTAAATATCAGAGCAGACTCTTTGAGAGAGTAATTAAGCAGACATCGAGAATGTATCAGAAGCTGATTATAAATACAGAATATGCCGTGATTCTTTGAAAATTAGCGCTTGAGACTTAATGATTATTAAGATTGCACATGTGTAAACGTTGGTGAATATGATATGGTTGTAGATAATGTTATTTTAACAGAATTGCGAGAAGAAAATTTAACCTGTTAACCGCTATAGAAAACACCGTGTTTATTCCATCAAGCAAATGGGCATTTATGAAAATAAAAGTATTAATAAGTAATTAACCAGGCAAATAGAATCGGATTTGATATTAAATAGACCATTTAATATGAAATCGTTATTTCATTTAAGTATGGACGAAACACATGACCGTGCACCCTTATGATAACAATTATACATTATTAAGACATCAACGTTCACAATTTCAATACTATGCACACTATGTATATATATGGTTAAATACCATTGAAGAAAAACACGGATTTGACATATTTTCATATTTTTCTACATTAAAGAACAACAGATTTGCCTATGTTTCAAAACAGTTAATTAAACTTTTCTAAATTTAATAAGTCTGATTCAGCGCTAATTTTCAAAGAATCACGGCATATTCTGTATTTATAATCAGCTTCTGATACATTCTCGATGTCTGCTTAATTACTCTCTCAAAGAGTCTGCTCTGATATTTAATACATCACAAAACCAAGCGTTCGATATCAGTCCAATCAGGAATTAATCAGCAACGTAAGGTACGTATAGATATCCGGTCATTCCAACATCGTGTATCAGCAAGAAGAACAAAATCCAAAGCTGCTTCGTTTTGTTTTTGGATAGCCGATATCGACACAAAAACGCACAGAAGCTTACGAGGTAAACGTACATTATTACATTAATTCAAAATGACAATTACTTTAAGAACACATATATATATATATATAAAATCAACTTAATAATGTTAGACTAGATGTGACTCTTTACTTTCTCCCCGACCATATGTTAGGTTGATTTTCTATGATAAATTTTCTAACGCCTGGTATTTCATAATCACAAGAAATCCGACGGACTAGGTATAGTTTGCAGTTGTCACTACACATAGACAGCATATCTATAAATATATATATATATAATATATACACGTCTAAACATGTGACAACTTTATGACAGACATTCTCCATCGGATAACACGTGGTTATACAGGGCTAACACCAATATATATATATAATTCGTCTCAAATTTAGCCCAAAAATATATACTGTGCATGGGTATTGCTGTGTGGTTGTTTTTTCCGCTTGGCTAGAGGTATAGGGGGAGGGTTGAGATCTCAAAACATGTTTAAAACCGCCGCATTTTTGCGCCTGTCCCAAGTCAGGAACCTCTGGCCTTTGTTAGTCTTGTATGTTTTTTTTAAATTTTGGTTCATTTATATGTTTCGGAGTTTAGTGTGACGTCCATTTTCGCTTAACTAGTATACATTATTGTTTAGGGGCCAGATGAAGCCCGTCTCCGGATGCGGGATTTTTTCGCTGTATTGAAGACCCATTGGTGGCCTTGGGCTGTTCTGTGCTATTTGGTCGGGCTGTTGTCTCTTTGACACCTTCCCCGTTTCCATTCTCAATTTCATGATATAAATATAACAGTCTCATTGAAAGATTTGCGCAACGGTACATATAGAAGTCTATAAAAAGACCAATCAGCAAATTTAATATGTACCGGATCGTCTAGAATAGACGATACTGCGCAGATAAGGAAAACATTATAAAAGGCTCAAGATTTGCGCAACATTACTAATATAAGATTGTAATATACGAAGATGATGTTATAAAATCGTGTTGACAAATATTTTGGCTGAACAAATAGATTTCGTCAGTGTCAATAATTTTAACAATACTATATTTTATAACATCATCTTCGTATATTATCATCTGATAGTTGTAACGTTGCGAAAATCTTTAGACTTCATGCTAGGCGGTGTTTTCGTATAGAAGTGAGAAGTGAAAAGTACAGGTTCCAGCCCCATTCGTGGAGGAAGTAAAGCATCTGATCTACTCAAACACTGTTAGGTTGATTTTCTAGGCACTCTATATATATATTATATACATGAAGATTTATGTAAGAGTCATAAAACACACATGTATATTGCATTGTTTTATATGAAAACAGAAAAAATCTTCCCCTCTCCGCTGTAAACATTACGATACGCAAAATAAAATTTATTAAAACGTTACCATGTTTGTCAAATTATTCCCTGTTAACAAAAAAACCAACAAAAACAAAATAATATGTGAATTGTAACTGTGAACAAGGAAGTTGTATGAGATTTATACAACTTCTTTGCTGTGAACTAGTAATATATTAATGACTTTTTAAGTATTGCAAAAACTCTTAAACTAGTGATTTTATATATATCATTATGATTTTGAAATTGCACACATATGAAAATTCGCTGTAAAATATATGAAACCGCAACCCACAACAATGACAGTTTTAATAAAAACAAATATCAATAGAAAGTAATTTCGGATACCAAATATTTTCATCAGTATGAACTGGCCGATGTAAAATGGCGACTTCACTTCTGAAATCCTGCATTAGATAATACAAGGCGAACATTGTATGATGTTTTCACCTAATAATAAAAATAATAATCAATACCTTTATTTAGATAGAGTAACTCATTTGGATTAAACCAATTGCCAATAAGGCTCACTACATGAATA